CAAAGGGGGTGCAACAAAATGTTCAGCCAGTGTGGGGTTTTTTTTTTTTTTGCTCAACCAAACTCCCTGGGAGTCGCAAATTAAAAAAGGTTGAGCACCACTGATTTACATCATGTAGAATATACACCCATTATCCCTGCTACCAAGAGGAAGAAAGAAATAGGTGAGCCCTGGTCTACAGTAAGGCGTTATTTCGAAATAACCCCCCTTAGGTCAAATTTATAAGCGAAGCGTCCACATGACCATGCCCGTTATTTCAGATTAACGGGTTGGTTATTTTGAAATCTGTACTCCTGCTTTTCTCGAGGAATGATACTAATTTCGAAACACGGGTTGGACACCTCCCTAGACTGGCACCCTCGGAACCTGACACATCCCGGATGAGAGATTTTGCAGGACCAAGGGAGGTCATTTCTGGACCCCTTGCTGCTGCCCCCTTCCCTGCCTAGCCTGCTGGCCTCCTGGCCGGCTCCTGACCTTCTGGTGGCTCACTGCTCTGCCAACCCGGTAGGCTGCCATTGCTGCCCTGGCTCTGGGACCCACACAACAGCCGTGTGTGCCGTGCCGGGGTTCCTGGTCCCACCGGGCAGCCACGGATCCCACCAAGCAGCCACACACGTGTCTCCCAACCCTGTTGGGCAGACTGGCTGGCAGGGGCTGGACGGCTCCACAGTCAACTTACTGCAGGCAGCCCACTGCCTTGCCAGCCCTGCAGGGATCCTTGCCACTGGCCCTCCACCGGGACTCTCCGGTCCTGCCACATCCGTACCATGGATCCAGCATAACTGGCTGGATAACCGAACTCAGAGAGTAGTTATTAATGGTTCACAATCCTGCTGCAAAGGCATAACAAGTGGGGTTCCGCAGAGGTCTGTTTTGGGACCGGCTCTGTTCAATATCTTCATCAACGATTTAGATATTGGTATAGAAAGTACGCTTATTAAGTCTGCAGATGATACCAACCTGGGAGGGGTTGTGACTAATCTGGAGGAGAGGGTCATAATTCAAAATGACCTGGACAAATTGGAGAAATGGTCTGAGGTAAATAGGATAAAGTTTAATAAAGACAAATGCAAAGTGCTCAACAGCCGTGTGTGCCGTGCCGGGGTTCCTGGTCCCACCGGGCAGCCACGGATCCCACCAAGCAGCCACACACGTGTCTCCCAACCCTGTTGGGCAGACTGGCTGGCAGGGGCTGGACGGCTCCACAGTCAACTTACTGCAGGCAGCCCACTGCCTTGCCAGCCCTGCAGGGATCCTTGCCACTGGCCCTCCGCCGGGACTCT